AGTCTGTTTGGCCTCCACAACTGAAAAATACAGAGTTACTGTGGCTGTTGACTGGTTTACAGTGTTGCCTAGACTGGCGGTCTGAGCAAAGACAACCTGGAGCCCTCTCTCCACACATAAGTGCATTCTCACCTTTTCTACAAGGAGAACGAAACAGAGACACAAAAAGCAAACAGAAGGAGCCAAGAGCAGCACATGGATTTAGATGGGAAGCAGCCACAACCTCCATTGCCAGTGCCTGGGCCATGTGTTCTGCTGGGGAAAAGCCGCATGAGCAGGGAAGTTCAAATCATGCTACACAGAAACATGGGGAAAAAATGGAAGGGAAGAGGAAATCACTTACCCGTCTGAATTCCAGCTGTGGGCAAGGCTAGATAAAATTCTGACAAGAGTTTAAGCTTCTGGTAAACTATTTGCATTTCCTCTTCTCCTCATGCAAGGTTTCCAAGAGCTCTTCCTTATGAAAACAGAGCCATGAACACAGACTTGGGCACTACCACGTATCCTTTACTAACACTGTTTTCATGTCATCTTCTTCTCTTCCATCTATTGCATAAGGATTTATTTTTTTTTTTTCGGTAGTTAGAGCTCAAATTTAACTTTTATCTATCCGGTAACTTCCACTGGTATCACAGATATATATCAATATTAAAAGGCAACTTTCCCTGATTCTGGTAGGCAAGCTATTTTGAGGTCTGTATCAGGATACATCCTTTAATAAACTACTTATTTTGCCTTCATGCCTTTCAGAAGGTTAAAAAAAAAATAATAAAGGATATGCCTTTGCATACACTACTGAAAATCGAAGTCTTGACTGCATTTTTGACCCTCTCCTTCTAGAGTACAATAAATAGGGACAATCAATACAGGATTACTGTCTTAGACACAGGAACCTTCAACTTCTGTGGTCTCCCTGTCTTCCTCTGAAATAGACTGTATCACAAGATTATTTATCCTGACCTTGGGAGAGAAACAGGGCTAATAAAGCTGATGTATGTAAGATGATTGCAGTACTATTCAGATTGGCAAGTACAAAAGAGCAGCAAATCACCTTTTGCTTTTCAGTTACCCAAAAAAAGGACACAGAATTTACCAACACTCACCTTGTTCTATGCATTAAAATTTTAGAATCCAGTCAAGGGGAAAAGAAGGGACAGAGTTCTTCCCATGTAACTAATCAGATCTCTACTCACAACTAGGAGGTGCTCTATGGACCAGTTTGAAAGCCATCACTCTGCAAGAACTTTATTTAAAAGAAAAAATAAAATCCTAAAATGGGAAGTTTAATTCAACTGCTGCCAATAGCTCAAGCTGCCTATCACACTTATTTTTATTGAAAAAATAATAAGGTTCATATACATATACAGAAGATATTTCTTTTTGCCAGTGTATCATTTGACATCTAAGATTGTGAACTATAAGGTTTTATATAAACTCAAGAAAAAATTCATCTATCTTTAAAATGTTCATCCTCTGAGAATTACAAAAGATTTAAGACCATATCTATCTTAGAAAGTGCCCTGAGATGAAAACAGCTGAATACTAGAAGAATATTAGGGAGAAATATCATAACTAAATAAAAGATTATATTTTGTTCCTCTTTTTTATTTACCTACTTCAGGGAAGAAGATGAAGAAGCAACTATCTCAAAAAGTAAAGACAAAAATCTGCTTGAAACAGCTTACAGACTTCAGAGTTGATTTTAAAGTTTTACTTGACATTATAAAAGGTAAAATTCACAAGTACTTAGAAGACTCCAGTGGTATTTATACACTAAAAGCATGCAGTGTCAAGTACTGTGTAAACAAACTGCAAAACTAGCTGCTTGGAAAGAATGAAAAGCTACTCTTAAACCAGTGCCCAGGACAAAAACATTCCCAACAAGTCACAGAAGACACAGCTTTGCTGTCAAAATTCACATTCAGGCATTCATCATTCCCTAATCAAACTAAAAATAGTGATGTACGTACAGGCTAAACTGTCTTGCACTATTCTACCACGAAGTATTTGAAAGTGATCTTGTCTAGTGATGGCATCCCAAGCTTATCATTAATACATAACCTTGGAGCCAAAAACTTCAGCCAGTATCAGATCCAACTAATTTTGACCTACTAATTGTGGCTATATGGCAAGTCTTTTCGCCATTAACAAAGTGGCACATAATGGCCAAAAAAACCAACACAAATTAATTTGGTCATTCTCTTTTATATATATATATATATACATATATACATATACACACACACATACATACTGAGTTAAAATTAGGTTAAATATTAATTGTTTATTAAAAAAATTATAATTCAGTTTCTACAAAGTATTTCTAAACATTACCAATTTCCCTCCTGAGTCTCTAATCCAGTCATAGTTTCAAGTAGACATGCAGGCTAACTGGCAAGTTAAACATTGACTCAAAAAGCATGGGAAGACAGAATTGCACTGATCAGGTAATGAACAGTTAAACACTGTCTCCATCATTTTTTGTACCTACTGTTTGCAAATCCAGCGAACTCTCAATAATTACCCTAGAACATAAATCAAATTACAGTAGCAAATACAGTCTTATCAACATCTGCTCACAGTCCAACTGAAACACAGTGCTCAAAGAAAGTAAGGCGGGTGTAGAAGGAAAGCACTTTCCTTTGTTAGATGTTCTCTATTCCATCCTTGAGGAATTAAATCCATGTAAAATACACCCTCCAGCTGCGCTAACTTACTCTTACATAATGGATAAAATGCCCTCGTAAGGAAAGAAAAGCGACCTAGAAGAAAAAAAAAAAAACATGCAAGAATGAGAACAGGGCAATAAAACAGATGTTCTCTCACAGATTCAGGGAAAACACCACGTTGCAGCAGCAACCACAAGGGCAGCTCAGCTGTTGCAGGATCCTGACACCACTGCTCCACTCTGTTCAAAGCTAATTATGCTGGGTGGTCCACTGCACCATCAGCTTATGAAATCTAGCCTCCTTGGTTTTGTTGGCTGCTTTTTTTTTTTTTTCTTTTCTTCTTGATCCCAGATGGATTCTAACACAGCTTGAGCACGTGCAGCCTCAGGGCAGGAGCTAAGAGACTTCCTTTTACAGTCACCCTTTTTCATGAAATGTACAGGGCCTTCACCTCTTTCCAGCCTCTATCCTTCTGTCAAATTTAGTTTCCCACTGGCCAAAACTCAAGCTACTATGTTGGATGTCAGGGGGAAGTTCCTCACTGTGAGCTGCCCAGAGAGGCTGTGGATGCCCCGTCCCTGGAAGTGTTCAAGGCCAGGCTGGATGGGGCTTTGAGCAACCTGGTCTAATACTAAATGTGGAGGTTGGCAGCCCTGCTGGCAGCCGGAGGGTTGGAGCTTGATGATCCTTGGGGTCCCTTCCAATCCAAGCCATTCCATGATTCTATGACATTAAAGGGAAAAGAAAACAGATATGGACAATGTTCCCACTTAAGTCTTGTTTCACCAGCAAAACAAACTAATTCTTCTAACTCAGTGCTGACAAGCTGTAGAGCCATTATTCTGAAATACAGTAAAACTTTTCTGACCTTCGTATCTGTCAGTTTGGAAAATGCAGGTACCAATAACATCTCCATAAAACAAGAACTTTGATGCAGGCTTTGCACCAAAAGGAAACAAATGTACCAGCCAACCCAAACTGTTTCCCCGCACAGGTCTCCATTTTGAATGTAACCAATTAAAATTTAGGGAAAAAAAACCTAAGTGTCTACCTCCAGCTATCCCTAATGCTCTCCCACACTTGATATGGGACTCTAATTTCCAATCCCTTTTACATACAGATATGTCTCAAAACCGTTTATGAGAGAATTCAGTTCCCTTAGACAATGTTTTCTAAGACAGGAGTGGCTCAGCTTTGCCAGCCAAAAGGTCTGTGCAAGCCTGTGCACCCTAGGTTCAGAAAATGATTCACCTGAAACGTAACCAGAAAGAGAAGCATTCTGTTTTCTTTTAAGTTTGCAAATCTCTGCCACGGAGAACTCGGGCACGAGGAGTAGTATTTGTGCCTCCCAACCTCATGATTGCGCTGGACTTGAATCAAGCAGCTGTAAAAGGTTATTTTTAACTCTGAAAACTAATCCACGCAGCCCTTATGGTCACAAAAGAGCGGCCTGCAGCTTCCTCACGGGGGGCAGGGGAAAACCTGGGGACAGGCTTTTGTCTCACTGTGAGAGAAAGCCACTGAGTTACCAACGCTTGCATTTCGTTCAACCGGTGCCTGCGCTTCAACCTGATACAGTGCCTGTTCGGAGGGGTGCAGCCCTGCCCTGCGGTTGGAACTAGATGGGCTTTGAGGACCTTTCCAGCCCAAACCGTTCTGTGATCCTGTGATGATCACAGCACCGGCAGCCCAGCCAACGTCAGGCTGGGGGCTTCGTCGTGAATCCGCCGCTAGGACAAACTTCGGGAGGAAAACACGCACAAAGCAGCACTGCCTACTGGCGAGGGTCGACAGTTCAAGAGCAGAAGGTTCCGATAACACAGACCTGATAACGCAGACTTGGAAAACACCGTGAGAACACCTGATCGTTCTCCCAAACACATCAACCACCGTTTCAAACGGCGATGTTTAAAAAGTAGACAACAACCTTCACGTCTGCTTTTAAGCCCCGCTGCCGGGAGGGCACAGCCTCTCCCAGGCGTTTCGGCGTGAGCTCTGCTGCTCGGCTCTTCGCTCCGACTTCGCCCGAGCTCCGCGCACCGCACGCCGCGCAGGGTCCGCTCCCTCCCACGGACCCCGCCGTCAGCCCTTGCTCCCCGCCACGAAGCGCGGCCCCGCTCCGCGGAGAAGGGAAAGCGAGAAGAAAGTGCAGCACCGAGCCGAACCACGAGCCGCCGGCGGGCAGCTCCCGGTCACGGGATGCCGGGAAAGCCGCCCCCGGCCCGAGGCTCTCCCCGCGCCGCCCGAACAAAGCGGCCGCTCCGCCCGCCCGCAGCCCGGCTCCCCGCGCTCCGCCGCCAGCGGGCCCCGCCGAGCCCCGCGCCCAGGTACCGGTGAAGCGCCCGCCGCCGTCGCCGTGCCCCCGCCGCCGCTGCAGGACGAAGTAGCCGCTGCTCTTCTGGGTGACCCAGAGCTTAAGGGCGTTCTTCAGTAGCACCTCCTCGGGCTTCAGCCACATCTCGCCCTGCCCGCCGCCCCCCGCGGTCCCCCGCCGCCCGCTCACATCGCCTCCCTCCGAGCGGGCCCGGCCGCCGGGAGGGGCGGGGGGCGGAGCGCGGGCGGGGGCCGGCCTCCCGCTGCCGCGGGCTGAGCGCGGGGCGGGGGCAAGGTCCCCCCCCCGGCTTTGGGTCGCGGGTGAGGAGCTTGGGGAAGTCGGGGTGCTGCCGCGGGGGCTCCGATTTCCCGAACTGTGCGCTTCCTGGGGTCCGGGGGTGGCCGTGCGGGCGTCGAGCTGCCCGTGGAAACGTTCACGGGTGGACTGCAGTTGGCTGCCGTAGTAAACGCTGTGCGGTCCGCGCTCCTTGCCGTCCCGGGGTAATGCGGTGCTTCCGCCTCCGTGTCGAGGCCGCATCTCGACTGCTGTGCTCACCTCTGGGCCCCTCGCTACGAGAAGGACGTTGAGGCCCTGGAGCGTGTCCTGAGGAGGGGAACGGAGCTGTGAGGGGTCTGGAGCACACGTCTTATGAGGAGCGGCTGAGGGAACTGGGATTGTTCAGTCTGGAGAAGAGGAGGCTCAGGGGAAATTTTATTGCTCTCTGTAACGGCCTGAAGTGAAGTTGTGGAGAGGTGAGGGTCAGCCTCTTCTCCCAGTTAACAGCAATAGGACAAGAGGGAATGGCCTCAAGTTGCTCCAGGTGAGGTTCAGGCTGGGTGTTAGGAAGAATTTCTCCTCACAAAGAATGGTGAGGCAGTGGCACAGGCTGCCCAGGGAGGTGGTGCAGTCTTGAACACTGTCCCTGGAGGTGTTCCAGAGCTGTGTGGATGTGGCACTGAGGGACGTGGTCAGTGGACATGGTAGGGATGGGCTGCTGGTTGGACTGGATGATCTGAGAGGTCTTTTCCAACTGTAGTGATCATATGATTCTACAGTATGCAAGCTGTGAGCATACACTTGTCTGCTATGAAAAGAAAAGCTATTAAAAAGAGATAATGGGCAGCCATATAACAATGTATTTAAAAATTAATGGCGGTAAGAAGTGGTTATTTAAAAAGCTCTTACAGGATAAGAATAGCTCAGAGGTTCCCCTGCCCCAAAAACAATCCTGGGGACGGTAAGTCATCAAATGCTTGGCAAGGTGTGGTGGTACTTCCTCCCTTCCCAGACAGCTGATCAGTAATTTCCAGTAGTGTTTTTGGAAGTTTTTTACATTTAGCTTTGGTTTTGGTCACAGTGATATGAGACCTAACGGAGAAGAAAACCACATTGTGCACATTCACTTTAGTTAATGCTGTCTTGAGACATGCTTCTGGTCCGTGTTGTGGAGTCCAACCAACAGGATCGCTGACTACATTAGACTTGGCCTAGCCATCATCAATCAAAATGTTAAAGCTCTTGCTTACTGTGTGAGCAGTTTCCCCAACACATGGCATCTGTGGATGGGGCTTAACAGCATACCTCTTAGAAATGGCTGAGAAGGAAAGAAAAAAACCAAAAAACAGAAGGATGGCCACAGACATAGGAAAGAAGCAACACAGCCACTTCGGCAACAATCCTGGGTCAGCAAGGGTTGCAGAGAGGAGTTGAGCATGTTTATTATGTTATTATTGTCTTATTTAGCCAAAAAAACATGCAAGGAAAAAGTCACCACACATACGTCTCTTGCTACTGAATGATGCAGCCTAAACCTGCTAACCAGGCAGTCTATGGCAAAGCCAAGGGAAGGTTTGTGAACATGGAGAGAGCCCTGCAGGGATGCTCTGGCAATTTCCATTCTGTTTGAAATGAGTTTGGATGGTCTACGTGCAATAGTTTTATCACACTTGTGTCTATAGAGGCAAACAGAAACAGAGAGAATGGGAATCCAGTAGATTTTTAGATGCATAATGAGATGCTGTGAAATTATACACTTTCCTATGTGCTTTCTTACACAGTCTAGGAAAGAACAGGGCTATCTCACATTGTGTTACTCAAATAGCTCAAAATCAGAAGGCAGAGAAATAACTTCAGAAATAAGTGAAAATATAACTGGAAGGAAAGTTATGAAAGAGAATGAGGTTTCTGGCCTTATCCCTCCCTTAGCATGTGTTCCAAAATGACAGAACTGCAGGTATTTATAAAGTCATGTATCATTCTTAGATTTAAGCAACTAATAGTACCAGACAGGGAGCCTGCTGTTCAAATGGCTTCATCTTTTTCATCCATAAAGCACGCCTGTAATTTTTTTTCCCTGTAAATCACTGAGATGCTGGGGGAAGAGAGATTCCTCGTGTGTGTAAAGTGAACTGTGTGTCTATGTGCAGCAAACAAGCAGCCCTGCATGCCCCAGGCTGGGAGAAGTGAGTTCATTCTGTTCCCAAGGCTTGTTTGGTGGAATTCCTAGAAGACATAGAGTCTGGATGGAGCAGAGGTAGCAGTGAGTGTGGAGAAATGATGTGTGGGGTTTTAGGAAATAAATGCGCATTAATGAATGCAACATTGGGAATTTAAGCTCCTGGCAAATATATATAAGGAAAGGTAATCAAAATACTTTTATTCTAGGATTTCAGGCATCAAAGAAAAATGCTTCATGGAGATTAAACAACAGCTGCTGTTTTCAGCCCTTTGTGATCTGCAGCCTTCAAACTTTTCCACTTCAGCTCCAGACTCCAGTGGTGCAGTTGTCAGTGGGTGTCAATGCTCTTGTTTCTCAGAATTGCATGTCCCCTTAAAGCTACTGGCCAATTCAAAGGTCCACAGCCCTTTGGAACCACTGGGCTCACTGACAGCAGAAAAGAGATTTTTCTAAAGAACTGAGCCACAACTCTGCAGATTCTCTGTACTGGTAGTTGGCAGTAGTTGGAGGTAGTTGGAAAATACTTTACCTCTCAGCTGTGTTGAAACAAGGAGCAAGTTACACCCTTGGTCAGCACCCAGCAGCAGGCTGAAGCACCCAGGCACAGGGTCACCTTTGAAATGACCTTCTACATTCACCTCCAATCGCCAGAACTTCCAGGCCTACACATAGTGTGGGGCTGTATTTCATAGAATCATACAGCTGTTTGAGTTGAAAGGGATCCTTAAAGGTTATCCGCTCCAATTCCCCCTGCAACGAACAGGGACAACTACAGCTAGAACAGGTTGCTCAGATCCCCATCCAGCCTGACCTTTGAAGTCTCCAAAGACATCCACTACATCTCTGGTCAACCTGTGCCAGTGCCTCACCACCCTTATAGTATAAACCTTTTTCCTTATATCCAGTCTAAATCTTCCCTCTTTTAGTTTGAAACCATTTTCCCTTGTCTCCCCTTTCTATTACCTGCTCTGTAGTACTAAATCCACAGCACACACCAGAAAGAGAGCAATCCTCCTCCACTAAAGTCTGGAGGGACCATGCTTGATATATTAACTGAAGGTACTTCAGTCTTTAAACAATGCAGATCTAGTGGAGACAGATTAAGAAATGAATAACAGAAATTCTTAAAGGTTCAAAGCTGACTTGTGAGCTTAGATGGGGTGCATTTGATGTGTGAGTAACTTGGCTGAAAGTGACAACGGGAGTACAAAATAGCTGCCTACAAATATCAGTGTGTTGAACGGAAAGAAAGAAGACAATGTATTTACTGCATTTAAAAAGTAATTCAATAAAAGCAGAAATAGAGGTGTTTTTTGCAAAATTTGCAAAAATTGAAGGCTAGATTAAATACTAAGCAGATCCTGCTGACCACATCTTTTTTTTTCACTGTGCAGAACAATGTATTGAGGGACCAGTGTCATTTTAGAAATAGTAAAAGATGGATCATTCCATATAATGTAATTTGGGGATTAGAAAGATTAGAAAACTAAGTAAATGCCTCCCATGCCCAGCTAATGGCTTCCTTCATTACAAGAAATCCCCTACAGGAGGGGATTTTTTAAGATGCTTTGAAAGGCCTCTGCAAAGTTTTTCTCATCAGATGCCCTCCCAGATATTGTCCTGTTGGAAAGGGGCCATGTTTGCTTCTCACTTGCAGAAAATCCACTTCAAATTTGGCAAAAACAGGAGGGCCCAAAGGGAAATCACAGTCATTCACAAGGAGCTCCCAACTCCTGGCAGCATGCCTCCACTGAAACCACTCTGCAAAGACCCTTCCCTCTAGACGTATCAGATCCTGGGAATCCGCAAACATAATTCTTACACTTAGATCTATTTAAAAAATCCAAATGCAAGACACATGTGGGTTTGTAATGATCCAGGAGGTGGCAAAGGTACTCTACACCAAAAGTCTTCTACACTAAGGACAGTTGTGGAAGTGTTGGAGAATTCTCAGCTATGTTTCCAGTGTCTTTATAGACGGGATGGCAAAAGCCAGCTCATGTTTATGGGGCCACATGTTTTTGTCTTCCCACCTGTTCTGGTAAAGTAACAAAATTTATGACCTGTAATTAGAGGCTTTGTTTATTATCTCTGATTAAATTAATGCCTGTGCAATAATGAAGATATAAGAAGTCATAATATACTCTCAGGAGTAATTGCAATTAAGCTACAGGCATCACTGTAAAAACAGATTAGAGGTCTTGACTCATGGTTTTGTGCAATAATATTTCATGACTTTTTCTCTGTCAACAACATTATAATAAACATGTTTATATTTCAACCAGCCAAACTCAGTTCTTTTCTCACTGAGGAGAACCACTGAGGAGAGAAAGTAGTTCAGTTGTCCCACCTATTTTTGTTGCTAATTCCACTTCTTGTTTTACTTCCAGCATCACTCCGTGACTTCCAGTTGCAATTTCTGCAATTTAGGACTGACAAACCTCTTCTGGGAAGCAAATGATTTAGGGAAAACCCAGGCAGGGGTTTTCAAGTCACACTTTTCTGCCAAGGGTGACACAGGCATGTGACCATATCTTGCCCTACCAATCCCTTGACCAATTCCGCAGTAAGTTGGGTCTCACCTGCTTTCCTCCCCATCTGCAGTAGGTGCAGAGGTCTCTTCACCACAGCTTGCCAAACCCCGTTGGTAAATGACCCTTGGAAGCCAGGAGCAGAGGCAGTCATTGGTGTGTAGAAAAGGTACTTCTCACATTCCCATCCAAGACACTCTCCTTGCCCATCTTCCAGGGCACCTGGACTCAGAGGTGTTCTTATTCTCACATAGCTGAGGGTAGACCAATCCTCCCAGCACTTTCCTGCATTACTTACTTTGACATTGAAGTAAGACACTGAAATTGTACTGGTACAAAAGGGCAGCCCCAAGAAAGATGCTGCATTTCAAGAATATCATTTATTTCTGGCATGCAACAGACACTGTATTGTAATGGGAAAGGAAGAGCTGCCCTCCTAAAATACTTTGGCACTCCTCAAAGGAAATGAAACAAGCAGCCAATGTTTTAATACCTTGTAGAATTTAATGAACTAAACTGAGTGATGTGGGATCTTGAACAACAGTAGAAATAAGTAAGTGGTGGAAGAATCAGCAAAATGAAGGTGTAAAGGCTCTGTAAGCTGTGACAAGGGAAAAAGCCCAGGGTGTGCAGAACAATACTCCCTAAGCAGCGTTTCCAATGCCGTTTCTCTAATTGCAAGTTTCTGCACAGCAGTGAGGTTTTAGCTGGAAAAGCAAGTGACCTTGATGTATTTGGTCAATACCTTGAGGTACTGCTGAGCCAACACACCACTTGAAGAGTGGCGGCTGGCACTGCAACCTCAAAGGAAGCTTAAAGTGGAGCAGCCACTTAGTAGCGACTTCCTCTAAGGCTGTTTCCTGATCCAAAATCCCCATACTAATTCACGTTTCAAGATCAAAAACTCTTCAAGTGTTCAGCAATAGTTAAGTGTTTAAGGAGGTAAAATGGAAAAAAGCCCCCACTAGTATGCCAGCTTTTCTCATAGTGCTACATTTTGTTTCTGTGTGAAGATGGGCAGTGGTATTTCTGCCATAGCTGTCTTCTGCTGGTCCTGGTACAAGATGCCACACCAAACACAAGCTGCTGGCAGAATTTACACTTTGTTTTTCAGCACTTGGAGCCAGGGCCAAATGTTGTTTTGAACATTTCCTTGAGGTGCTTACTATGTTTTTCCTTTGAATATCCACACACCAGAATATCATCCATGTGGTCAGTACAGCCTTTCTAAAAACTTGAAATAGCTTTGCCCTTTTCTCTGTCCGTGCTGACTCAAGGCACACAACAATTACAGCTCAGAAAGGCATAACAGTATGTGGTCCTGCTTACAGCTATGGTGATCTCCATCCTGCCTGTTTCAACAGGGTCTGATGCTGCACTGCTGCTCCGTGGGATTTATCATTGTGAACACAGGACCTGACAACCAACTTTAAGACTGGTAAAACTCCACCACTTTCCCTTTTCTCTGGTCCTGTTCAGTAGCTGTGGTAGAGATGGTAATTCCCAGCACTGAGCTCAGCACTGTGCTATGACCTGAGCAGTCCCGAGGTCACTGCTGGTAGAAGCTACCACTTTTGCTCTCCTCCTGAGCATGTCAGCCCACCTGGGGGAAAAGCAACTGCAAGAATGGCAGAACTGTGCCATAACACAAACCCTGTATCACGCAAGTGTCAGTGCTCTGACACAACTTTTAAAATGTGTACGTGAGCGCCTTCGAAATACCCTTTCAGGTAATTTTTCAAGCAGTTTTTGACTCACTTTTACACACAGGGGTATCCCCACAGGAGCATCTCTGTTTTGATTCTTACATCTTCCACTGATCTGCTATGACATCCAAGGCTGTGCTGAGACTGCTCGCAGCCCATCACTGATGCTGCCGGGGAGGAAGCATGCTGCACGTGGCTAGGGCTGGGTTTGAACCTGCTGACTTTGATCAGCATTGTATTTCTGCTTCTACCTGACATTATATTTTGAATCTTTTCTTGGCGTGAAAATTCTGTGATTTCCTCCTGTTCTGCCTGCTGGCCAATTTCAATGCGACTCTCTCCATTTCCACAGAATTTGGAGAGCTTTTTTTGCCACCTTTGCTTTTGAGGGTGAGCAAATAAGGGCTTTAGTCCTTGAAACAAACATGGCCACAGAGCAATTGAACTTGAGAAAACATAATTCCCATGAAAATAGCTACTTTTCTTCCTTACTTTTAAAGTATTCTGCTATAAATAGTATTTTACACAGCTATATACATACATGCATATATTTACTGGACTACCAGTTCATGTGGTTTCTAAAGAAGTCTTGTGTTGTTTTCTGCTCACTTCAGCAAAGCCAGTAACTGTACCTTCCTGGTTTATATTCTCAGAAATAAAATGTTCATCACATACTTAGGGAAATGCACCCAAACCATCTGCCTACCATTTATGGGAGAAACAGAAAGATTTGAAAACGTGATCCACTTCCCTCCCTGTTTGTACAGATGAATGGGTTACCTTGGAAGTCTTTTCTTTTAACCTTAAGTTTTAATCAATCCTTTTTGTAAATCTTAAATCCACTAAATCTTAATCTTATTAAGTCGGATTGTGGCAATAGTGACAAAATGTTTTCATGTGTTTATTTACATCCCAAAGCAGTATCTCCTTATACACATTGGAGAAAACCAACAAGCCAACGAAGCCTGAACCTCCAGCAGCTATTCTCAGCTGCTTTTGAGCATGCAGGTTAAAACTTAGTTTTGTAGAAGTAATCAGTATCCCATTGACAGCGATGGCAAATGTGAAATCAATCCCTTTGGAGTTCTGGTGCTGAGCATCAAGCAGAGCTCTAAAAAGCAGTTTGTGCTTTTGAAAACTTTGGACTTAAGCCAGAGCTTTCATCTTCTTATCTATAACAATGGAATGTGGCTTAAATACCTCTCCGACGGCTCATGAAGATTTGTTAATGTTTATAAAACACTTGGAATTGAAAAGTATTTCGGATTATATATTAATTCCTGCTGTCTTGCACCTTCACATTCCTTTCACATGTCCTAGAAGAATATTTTGTGAGCAACACAACCAGCAAAACCCATAATGACCTCCCATCTCCCCCTCACTGTGGCAGGCTCCCCATACCTCTTCCCCAAACCCTTGCACGGCCTTTGCATTGTTGGTCCCCTCCATGTCTCCTTCTCCCCTGCCCAGCTGATGCACCTTGCAAAGCTGGACTTCCTGCAGGCCTCTGACCCCCTCTCTCATTTGGATGAAAATATGAGTGCAAACACCAAGGTGAAGCAAGCTCGCCTGAAAACATTTGGTTCATGCTTGTGAGTGTAAGTCCATGCCGGGAGTTTTAGAAAGATGGTGAGGATTCAAGGCCTCACTAGCATGAACTACTGAGGGAACTGTCTCACTGTCCCTCAGAAAAGATGTTTGTCTTTCCTCAGCTCCTGTTCACAAACGTTCCTAGCCCATTATTAAACTGCCAAAAATAAAACGCTTCTGGTTCAACATTTTCTCCCATGTGTCCTCTCCAGCTGCTGCCCAGGCACAGACCCTGCACCAATGAGTGCACTGTTCCTGTTTTGGGCTGTGATGTTATCGCAGTGGGATGCACACTGCCCATGAAGGGCATTTCAGCAGTGCATTTTCTTAACCCTTACTTGACAGTGATAGTTCTTGGCAAAGAAGTCACTCTGACATAGAAGAACGGAGACGGCTGTTGTTTGCCTCAGCCCTTGCCAGCTGAGGTCTCTGGTGCCACAGTTGTGAATTTACAGCAATATCTAGAGTAGGAGTGATGGGCAGCAGCTACAGTTAGTGCACGGGGAGAGCTGCCTTCACGGAGCCCTGTGAAGAGCTTGCTCTCACCCTCCAGTTCCATAATAAACCAGAGAGGGGGATCAGCTCATGAATGAGGCATCACTACTGCCTGCAAGATGGCTGTCCCAGACTGATGGAACCATTGTCGTGTTGATTAGACGAGATTTAATGCTGTGATAGTACAATGTCTGTGCTGTGGTTGCTGATGCCAAACCACAGGCTCCAGTGAAATAGTAGGTGGCTGAGGGAGAGTGCACTTCTCCAGCTACACTGAGTGCATACGTCCTTGGTGTGATCTCTATGAGAAACATGGGAATGACTGGCAGCCAGGAGCACAGCTGGATAGGTCTGCAGATGGTGGCTGATCACAGGGAAACATTTATGAACATAAGCATGGGACGTATAGTGCATGAAACAAGGATCCTGAGAAGAGCCAGTGTTTCCCTCTCTGGACAAGGCAATGTCATATTTATAAATAGGAGGTTTCTGCCCACTATTCCATTATTTGACTTACCTTACCATCTTTTGTTCTGGCGTGCATAGTTATATGCTGAGGTCAGATCACCTGATGGGAAAAGAAGGTTTAATTATATGTGAAATGCTTACAGAATGGTTTCAGCTGCTGAAGGCAAAATGGCTCAGCCTCCCAACTTGTTTGGATGCCAGTGTGCTCTGTGGCATTTGTGTTAACACAGCACTCTGCTTCTGCAAGAGGGTCAGTGAAAGATACCAATCTTCTGCAGTAGGCAGGGAGAGCAAGAGAAACCAGGGATGCCATATGGCTTCCTGTCTCCGTGTTGCAAGTGGCATGCTTATGCATTTTTGTGCACGCATGTGTGTAAGAGTTTTATGCTGTAGATACTTCTTGACTGTTTTTCCTTTCCTATGCACTCCAAGGCCAATAGCATTTTTTTTTTTTAAATTGGATCTGTGTCCAAAATCACTAACCATTTGCAGAACAGGGAACATTTATTCTGCCCCCAACAGATTCCTGCCAGGTTATCTTAACTAAGAAGAAAACTGTATTCTACTTCCTTGAGTAAAATGTTTCTTTTTTTTCTTAATAGAGGAAAATGAGTTCATATTTACACTGTTCTGCATAATAGGGTCACTGCTTTTGTGGTATCTCTTTTATTGTCTCATCTTTAGCCATTAGCCTGTTCCAAACCTCCTGCAAGTTAACACAGTTGTTTCCAGACATGGCAAGATTTAAGCTTGAAAAGAATTGCAGAAATAAGTAGCTCAGGCTTAACGTAGAAACAGAATAGCTGAGGAAAAGGCTCATCACCAACAGTAGTTTAAATGCATTTTTAGGCTACTGACTTGTTGGAATTCCCTGACAGGAATAGAAGCTGCTTCACAGAGCTGTGACAGAAGAACTCAGCATTTTGCTAAGGAGATGTTTAAACATTAGCTACTGTTTAGCATATGTGTGAATAGGGAGGAAATAAAGGAAACTTAGTCTCTTAAGCAACCTTATCTATTTTTCAATAAAAAGAAATGCTCACGCATCACCATAAGGATGTCAGAAAGGCATTAGCAGAAGTTAAAGAAGCTTAATAAAAAGCAAATCTTCATTTTCTTTTTCCTGTGCACCTTTCTTCAACATTCAGGGTGTCACGCTATGTGTCTCCAAGGAGTTTACGTGCTTCCATTGACAAGGCATTGGCCTTTCCTGAAAAATAAGAGCATACTCTCTCACAGCAGAAATACGAACTTATGACATTGGGTCTATAATCATAGTTTTCCAAACATCACTGCAAATACAGGTAAATAGATAATCATGATATAAACATGTTACATGTATGTGTTATGTTCTCCTTCCAACACAGAAACACACAGGCACTGCTCAGGACCATATCTTACAGTGGAGCAGATGGCAGCCGAGGAACAGACTGGGATTCAGCCTTGATCTGAGCATACTTGGATTGTTTGATAGATAAAAGTCTCCCAACAGTGACACTGAAAGAACTCAGATTTCCCACAGCTTAACATACAGTCAAATTTACAGTCTCCTTTTGAGGTACTGTATGCACTTGCAAAGGTTTTATAAAATTACAGGTCAGATGTGAACCCCGTTTTGTTGTGCATTTTGTTCTCCATAATTCCTCTATAGGAATTACCTATAAAATACTTGCCAGGTAATAACAGAGATGGTGATGGCCCCTTCTCTAGCACTTGCTTTGCATTTATTTTCCACCATGTTCCTTCAGACACTGTTGAGAAGCTCCCTATAACATCACCTCAAAATCCAGTCACTTTGAGGTTGAGTCAAGAGTCCAACAACCCCAGCTGCTTCTTTTCCCTGGGATGTGTCTCTCTCTCCATCTCTGAAATACTGCCAGATACCCAGGAGTGTCCCTCTAGAAACACCTCTGGGCTGTCACTCCAGCCCTTCCCATCCTTCTGACTTGAGGAGGTTACACACATCACAGCAGAGTTACAGCTGCACAGAAGTTGACTTGCCAGCAAGTTGCTGCTGCCTCTCAGCAGAATTCATCCAGTGCTGACTTCTCCAGGGAGGGAATGGATAAGGTCTCTTCTCTGTCCCAGCCACTGATTGTCATAAAGCATGCATACATTCTGGAATACTTTTGCCTTTTGGTTGTGTCCAGCTAAAAAAGATTAATGGTCAGAAGATGATGGGGGGAGGGAAGGAGGCAAGGGGGCTGGTTTGATAGACTGACAAATAGACAATGTGATTGCATCAGTCTCATTTCCTTAGGAAACTAGGCTAAAAATAAAAGGCTTTATTTGCTCCTGGGAATAAAGCAGAATGTCTCTCACATCTTTACAAAACATTTGTTTCTATGTATACTTATAAACAGTCAGGATGGGAGAGGAAGTTTGCACTGGGTTTTGAGAAGAAAATTACAAGGAAGGGCTAGAGGTGCGTGGATTTTAAAACCTGGGATACTTTTAGACATACAACACAGCAACAAATGCAGAGTCTTGGACATTAGTGCTAGATTATTGATGCATAAACTGTTGGCCTGCAAACCAACTTGCCTGTTAGGCAATTTTTTACCTCTCATCAGAATGAATACATTTACTCAGTGAAGATGGATGGTGTGCTTAAACCAAACCCTGTGTGCACTCTGAGGTCAGCAGACTTTCACAGATGTAAGTGAGCAGTGCAGAGGTTGCTGTATTTGATCAGATTTACGGTTTAGAGATTCCTATCTGATGGTGACCAAGACTAGCTACTTCAGAGAAAACACTCCCCAGAAAGGTCTTGGTTTTTACACATTCTGCATAGAAAATTCTTTTAGTTTATGAAATCTAAAATTACTATTTTGCAGTTTTATGAACTGGTAGCATACTGGAGTCGTGCTTTTACAGTAGTACTTAATGGACAGGGAACCAAGTAGTTCCACATCCTCCAGAAACTTCTGACTGCTTGCTGTGACATGACTACCAACATAACATCCAAAAAAAGGGAACAGTTAATACAGCCAAGGGGGCCTTCCATCATGGCAGATTGGCTGTGTGGTATCATTCATATTGTCCATCTCCTTTGCTTGTGCACCACCTTTTCATTTTTGCTTCAGTGGCCTATGCATGGAAGCTCCTTCTTCCTGGGACATGCTATGATTTCCATTACATTACATTACATTACATTACTGAGTAGTCTCAGCAAACACTGTACTAAGGACTATATAAACATGTCATGACGTGGTCAAAAGATGAAAGATCAGCATATTCTGGGGGAAAAAAGGATGCAGTACACTGCTGGAAGACAAGAAAAGCAATATATATGTCACCTGCAGGTATAATTGGTCTTGCCAGGATTTACCCTCAGCTCAGCTTCAAACTTGTTCTTGCTTCCCCAGGATGTTCAGCATGACTTTAGGAATGTGATCGCTCTATCCCATTGTAGAGGTCAAAAATGTGACATCTGAGCTTATCCTTCTACAGTCCCTCTGCAGTCAGCCAAGCAAATTAGGTGTTTGCAGGAGAACTGCTCACTACTACCACCATCTACTGAAAATAAACAATGTTTCCCATTTCAGAATTTTGGAACCAAATGGTGGTTTTCTTGATCATTTTTGGCACTAGCCAAAAGCTAATGTCTCTTGTTTGGGCAGAAATTGAACTTCACATACATTTTAATGTTCACTGTACAATAATGTGCAATGACACAAAACACATGCATATGTCTGTTTTAGATACCTTACCTGTTGAATGTTCTTGGGTAACTTCTTAGAATCAAGTATGGTATCTTAATTTCAGCCTAACTTGCACATTGGAAACTGTTACCTGATTCAAAAAGCTTCTAAAACTTCAAAATCATTTACACATTCTCAGGAATTTTTCTTCTGTGCTTACTTGCATCATGACCTTCATAGGAAAGTACAAAGACTGGAAAAAAATGAAATAAATGGTGATTAAAGCAACTGATTCTTTTTAGCTTGATAGCAAGAACTCTATGTAGTTTCACTCAACTGCAATAATATCTGAGTCAAGCCCTGTCAGGTGATCCTGTTGGTGGATGTGGTTATAAAACAGCAGCTGCATATTGAGAAAGCAAGAAAACTGAAGTCCTTGCAAAAGCATAAGTCTTCCATGTATCTCTAGTACTTCTCTGTCTCTGCCTCTCTTTCTTCTCACTCTCTCTCTCCATATTACTGATATTCAGTCAACTCACAGAGCAGAAACTATTTCCTAATATCCTCAGAGAGTCATGCACATTTACATGCAGATACATACATACAGATAACTGGTATGTAATATATGAATGAAGCTCTGAAAAAAAAATAGATTAAGACTTACATTTAATGTCAATTTCATTTTTATTCATTTGCTATGAACAGTCTCAAATAAAGCATGTCACAGCCCTGGAAAAATAGCATCCCTGCTTATAACACAAGAAGCTACAGCAATATCACACACAGAATCACAGGGGTTGGAAGGCACCTCTGAGAACTAGCCTGCTCCCTGCTAAAGCAGGTTCCCTGCAGTGAATTGCACAGGAAAGCATCCAGGGGGATTTTGAATATCTTTAAAGAAGGAGACTCCACAACCTCTCTGGGCAGCTTGTTCCAGTGCTCTGTCACTCTCACAGTAAAGAAGTTCTTCCTCATGTTGGTATGGAATTTCCTGTGTTGCAGTTTTTGCCCATTATCCCTTGTCCTGTCATTGCACACCACGAAAAAGAGCCTGGCCTCATTGATTTGACTCCCACCCTGTAGGTATTTATAAATAGTGATGAAATCCCCTCTCATCCTTCTCTTCTCCAGGCTGAACAGCCCCAGGTCCCACAGCCTTTTCTCAATACTGGAGATGCTCCAGCCCCCTCATCTTCTTTGTAGGCCTCAGCTGAATTCTCTCAAGAAGTTCCCTCTCTTCCTCTCTTTCTTGCACTGGGGAGACACAGTATCTGACAAGGGCACAGTGCTGGCTCACCAAACTGTTGTCCACTAGAACACCTAAGTCCTTCCCCAAAGAGCTTATTTCCAGCAGGCCAGCCCCTCATCTGTACTGATACATGCAGTTATTTCTTCCCAGGTGCAGGATCCTGTGCTTGCTCTTGCTGAAGCTCATAAGGTTCCTCTCTGCCCAACTTACAGGACTGTCCAGGTCCTGTTGAATGGTAGTACAGCCATCTGGTGTGTGAATGTGTGGGTGGTGCAGCTTGTCAACGCTGCTGTTATAGCATTACCTCCAAGTGGTCATACATGCAAGGTGACACTTGAGTGAACTGAATGGCTGCTTCACATCCTGCTCACTGAATACACAGTAACTTCTCCCGAAAGCACTGCTCTCTGGTAGGGTGTAACTACCAAGTTATTCAGAAAATATGAATGGTTATCTTATCTTATTGTGGTGTGTATATTTGACAGTTTCATTTTTCTGTTTGTTTTTCTTAGCCTGAGCTAGTGTGTTCCATAACTCAGCTAATTCCTATCCAGAGAGTATCCTGAAGCACCTTTCTTCACTCTGAAGCTAAAACACTGCATTCACCAACAGCACTGACTGGTATGCATCATTAATATCTTCACTGTGACCACAGCAGATAAACAAAAATATGTGCAGATACAGTAATCTGTTATTTTTCCCTTTTACTTCCTTGTACCAAGGATTATGGTTTGCTTGTTTTAAGACATTGAAAATAATATACTTCTAATGCAGCTGATTGCAACAAACATTGTGGGGGAGGATGGAGGGAGGATTCAGTTGGCAAGAGATAGTGGAGCTTTTTTTAGCAGATAAATATTGTAGTGCATTTGCCTTGTCTTTGAATCACATTAAATATACAAACTCTTAAAACACTATTGAAATGTTTGAATGCCAGTGTTGCAAATGAAAATCAATAGCATGCTATTAGGCTCATTATATTGCTGTTATGCATCATTAAATTGTATTTTAAAAGCTTTCAACATAAAATGGGAGATGAGATGAATAAGAAGATGTTTTGAGGAAGTGCAGCACACTTAGAGACGGCCACAAGAGAAACTTTGTCTGTGGTTGGAAAGAAAGCCATGTAAGGAGCTCAGTAGGTATAGGAAATAAATGGAATACTACAAAATGAATGAGACAAAACTCTGATACAGACGAATCAGTGGAGCTTCACCATTGCAGTAGGAAAGCAAAATCATCAAATACTTATTAGATACATTTGCAATTTGAGGTTCTTTCTTCGACTAGGCTATAAATATCACTATACCACAATGCTCTGTAATGCATCTAAAATATACTTTATCTTCTTGCACAAAAGAACTGTACTAGTCCCTAAAAGCATGTTTAAAAATTAGCATTTCCAAGCATCCTTCTGACCAAATGTCACTTGGAAAAGTGTCACATCATCAGATACTTCTACCTAGTTCTTCTCTATCTGGTATAGATATGTAATGAAAAACTTTTGGTATAATATTTAAATGTCTGTATATGCTTTTAAATGAGTAAGTATGTATGCACACACACACAATTATATTCATTGGAGAGAAGAGAGGTTCCTTTCTAATGTTCTTTCAAAAGGGACTCTTTGAGAAGAAGGGACTCTCTCAATGTTTGGGAGTTTAAACAGGCAAGAGGGACAACAGATTTCCAGTCCCCACATACATACATTGTTATGCTTTCATACCTGACTGCCATTGCTTGCATTGTTCCTGGCACAGGACCAGAACACAAACCCTCATCCTGCATCTCACCAAGCACTCTCACTAAAACCATCAGATCCTGTATTTCTCCTTTCCTTCCAGGGTCCTCAGTTCCTGTAAACAAAGCAAAGTAACTTTAGACAGAGATGAATATTCCTCCCTGCTCCTAGTAGAGACATTGCCTGGATTTGAGTTCAACACCTTATGGGCAGAGGAAGAAACAGAACCTGAAAGTCCCCTTTTCGAGGAACAGCTCTGATCAGCTCTGAATTATTGAACACTTTTTCAGAAAGCAGATTTCAAGTTTCTAGTTTAAGCATAAAGTCCTTTCTCCTGCAAAGATTCAACTGATATTGATTTTAGATGAAAACAGAAACAAAACATAAATGGAATCATTGAACCAGAGAATAGAAATAGTGCCAGGTGAGTCAGGCATGCAATTGCAGAGCTCAAATTATAAAAGCTGAATACTCTAAGTTCACAGTGAAGAGTTCCCAACCAACGTTCACACAGAACACATGCTCACCTATTTTTGAATTACAAATGGATTTTTAAAATCCTTGTCTAATTAAACAAGAAAAAAGAAAGAAAGAAAGAAAGAAAGAAAGAAAGAAAGAAAGAAAGAAAGAAAGAAAGAAAGAAAGAAAGAAGACAAGTGAAAGGATCATTTTGCTTCAAATCATTTTTTGAAAATGTTTTAGAGTTATCACAGAAGGGTTTCCTAGCCAGAATAAGGGTCTATGCACAGATATATATGCCAAAAGTCATATTGTATGTTGCTTTTATGTTCTAGTATCAAGAAACCAAGTAATTGCATTAACAATGACTTTACATGGGTTGACATTTAAAAACTGACTTAAAATACAGAAGTGTCACTAAAATTCACAGAAGCTAAAGAATTCATCAACCACCATGTTTGTTTCTGAATGACCATGGAGCAGCACTTATGAAGCTATTGTAAAATGATATTTGGGGTGTTTCTAAAAAACATCCAAGAATCACTTGACATCTTAGAGGTCTGATGAACAAGTGAAGATGTATTCTCATATAATTACTCAGGAAGGCTTTTAGGCATTGTTAGCATGCCAACATTGTTGATTACTCCAGGAATAATAAATCTGTTTCTACACTGGTTGTCTTGTTTTGAATTGAAGACATGAATTAGGAAGGATAACATGCAATGGTCACTAGCAAGCTGCAGATAGAGAGACTCACGCAAAACCTACCTTCTCCCTCCCCTTTTGGATATCTTGCTATTTAAAACACACTGTAGATGGGCTGGGTCACTAGAATTATTAAGGGAAGGAATTTGAGTACAAGAGAAAAGTCTTGTGAGAATAAACAAAACAATCTGGAAGTGTTCTGATTTCCCCTTTGACTTCAAGGTGTGACTTAATTCCTTCCCACCATGTTCTTCCCATGTGAAATGTGGGATAAAAATACACTGGTGGAAGTTGTTTCCTAGCTGAAGTATTCAGCTTCTTTGCTAGAAGAAACTCAAGTACTTGCCATGGAGCAGGTCAATTTAATATAACTTCCTTGCCACTTTTTCTTTCACCTCCCTAATGCTGTCTTTTTCTGTTGCTCCTTCATTAGTATTCTTTCCCCAAGTGCCCACAATGCAGTTTCTATTCCTTGGTGTTATGTAAAATACAATGGCAAACAATAACATAATCAATTTGAATAAGGAAAGGAGGAAAAACAAATTCTACAGTTAAACTGCATGGCCTTTCCCTGCTAATAGCAAATCAGATTAAGTCAAATCAAATGTGCTCCTTTAGTTTCAGATCTGATTTTCCAGCAACAATTACCATTTCTCACAAGATGATGTCAATTTAAACACTAAACAAAGTTCATATTCACAGTGATATAACTTGAAAGGTTTATTTGTACGTGTAAAGATTGTCTGAAATCTGTGCATTCATATTATTAGCATTTATGAGCCAACAGGACAGAGCTAACAAAGGAGCCTGAGAGTCAGTAATTTAAGAGTAGCCCCAATTCCTTTATCCATCCTTAGGAATTCAAAGCACGATGTTTACTGAGGTTCTTACTCAAGCCCAACTTAAAGAACGATGGGTCAATTTCATGCTTTAACTGATCATTTAGAAGCTCTTCTATAAGCCATTTAAGAGAAATGGAATACATTCAGTCTAGTCCCAGAAAAGCTGTACTGCAAAGGCAGCAATGTGAACCTTTGTGCCACAGGGCTGTGCTGTGCTGGACTGCCAATCTGGAGGAGCTGGGGGCCCAGCCTTCCTCCCCGCATGCAAAGCGATCCATTTGAGAAGTCAGGTATGTCCCAGGACTCCTTTACTTGAGCCTCCACTAGTATCACATGCTGTTGCTTCTTTGTTACATAAATGTGGAGTCCAAGAATATCCACTTTTGCAGCACATTTACTACACTTATTTTAGCCCTACCTTTTTCTTAGATTTTTTGTTACTCTGAAATGGTAATCTGTATTCCATCTTCCAAACCGTTAGCTTTCCTGCTCTGACCAGAAACCTCTTCATTTGGATAGAGGGATTTCAGATGGCTGCATTAGCCACACAGAAGTAGCTTTCTTTTTTGCTGTCTCAGACACTGGGGAGACATTTTATTGCTCTGACGGCCATTTCTGCAATTCTACATCCATTATTCCAATAAGAACATTATGCAAGAGCGGTTTGTATTTCTGAAATGTATGGGAAAAAGAGAGAGAGCTTTTTCTTTCACAACAGGTTTCTCCTTCTTGCAACAAATCTGCACAGTCTGCTATTAGCAGCAGGCTGATCAAAAAAGGCTACCTGGGCAGAAGCACCACAGATCTACTTGACAGTGGATTAGCACCCAGAAAACTGTCCTTCACTTAAGGCACAATTTTAGGCACGGTTATTTCTAACCACAGACTTCCTCCCACCAAAAAAATGAACAAAGAAAAGGTTTGCCAGCACAGCAGAAGCACAAAATCTGTTGCTCAGTTTCAGGTCAACAGATGAGAACAACGTACAAAAGCACTGAGGGAAAGAAGCTAAAGGAGAAAAGCTGAATTAATTCCTTGCATCTCTACAGGGATCTTGGAGTTGTTCCCAGGCTTTACTGACGGGGTGCAAGTCAGGAAAACTGTCTCACAGTGAAGAGTTAGTAAGAGATGTGAGATGAAGTGTATAAAATGAATCATTATTCATCACCAGGACCTGATGGGACTCACCCAAGAGATTTATTTCAGGATGAAGATGTTATATTGCAGTGTGCAACCTTCTCCTCAAAATGGTCACAGTAGCAAAAAAATAGGGGTAGAAAGTATGCAACCAATTTTTCAAAAGGCCATGGAGAGAATCCAAGAAACTGTAAGCCATCAAGTCCAATTTCTGTACTGATAAATGCAAAAGAAAATACTATGATGAGGGTGGGGTGGAAAGAGAAAGGATCTATCCCTTTTGCAGCAGTGGATGCTTCCTAACTATTGCTGCTGAGGAATGATACAAAAAGTCGTTGAGGACAGTTCTTTTATAGGTCAGGTCAATGTTCATGGCTTAAATAGAGCGAACAATGTGAAAAAGTGAGCATAGAAATAAACAGGACTCATTGTATAAAGGTATATAAATACATAAATCTGTGGAACACTCACAGTTGAATAAGGATAAGGCAGAAGTACGAAAAGCAGAGAAGAGCAACAAGGATGTCAGAACACGTAGCTTAGAGGGGAGCAACTGAGCTGCGCTATGATAAGAGACGTGCAGAACGTGATGAGTAATGAACAGAGTTAAGAAGGAAGTACTGTTTTGTGCAGTATGGCTCTTGAATTGCAGAGATCATTGCCACAGCGTGTCATGCATGCCAAAAACATAAGCTGGTTCGTGAATCACTGAAGATGAGCTCAAGAAAGAAATGTTCATCAGGGGCTGGGAATGACGAGCATTCAACCTTTGAATTGGGAAGTAACTAAACTGGAGGTGGCCAGAAACCAAAAGCACATGGGGAAGTGCCACTCTGTGCTTTCCCTGCTAGATCTTTTCTCTAGCAGTTTCTGCTTACCAGTCATGGACTAAGTGAATACTGTCCTGTCTTCTTGTATGTAGTTATGGACATTTAAGGCTGCAGTTAATCATGTGAGTTTCTCTCATTTAGACCAGCAACTCCTATCAGGAAAACTTAAGTTTTGCTGTAGTGAGCTATCTCCCAAGTATTCTGTATCCTTGTATCAAACCATATCCCCTCATCTCTGTAGGAGGTTTAGCAAAGATACAGAAATAGCCACCAGAGCCTTTTCCACTCTGCAGACCACTGACATGGTTTCATCTTCTCGATTTATTGCAACAGTTCTTCAGACCCAGAAAAACAAACCTCTCTGACAAGAACAAAGAATACAACAGTTTTTCTGCAGCTAAGCGAAACAGAAGGGAAGATAAGAGTTGGCCAGTTTGGCATGTTCTCAATCCCTGTTATCCAAAATGTCTTCCCAAAGACCGAGTATTCAAGGCAGCTGCCAAAGTTCATCCTTCTACCTATTTTGCCAGAAATCTATTTGAGTTATAAAGAATTTTACTTTCCCACAGCACCTTCCTCTCTAAACTACCCAGTTTTCACCTTTTTTGACTGAAGAGATTTTTGACTACTTCTCTGTATTTGTTGCAAGTAAGGGTAGAAAGCGTTTGTATATACCCATGCTTTCCCAAGTTCTCCAGCCAGCTCTTCTGCACACTTCCAAAGATTATTTCCTCAGCAATTTGCAATTCTTTCATTTCTTCTTAAAACTTACAATGGAAGTCCTTGCTACAGCTGTTAACACATTGCAAAATCCCAAGGACTTGCTCTTCTGTTTCCTAGTACAAGCTGGCCATGGCAGCAAGCCCAATGGCATCCTCTTCCATTTGCTTTACTATTCTAGCTTCACACCACAAGCAGACCTCTCAGTGTGATCTAGTCAGTCAGTGAGCAGCTGCTCTAGCAAGAACGCTTTTAGATTATCCCTTACAGGTCTGTAGATCTTGGTAGCTTTTTTTTTTTCTTGTTTGTTTGTTTGTTTGTTTGTTTGTTTGTTTTGTTTTGTCTTTGTGGGGGGAGGGGGAGATGGCCAGTTGTTGCTGTTGCTTGTTCTTGCTTGTTTTTCCCAAAGCAGTCACTGGGCATGAGCCAGCAGTGTGTGCTTGCAGCCCAGAAGGCCAACATTATCCAGAGCTGCATCAAAAGAGAGGTAGCCAGTAGGGAGAGGAAGATGACTGTCCCCCTCTGCTTTGTGCTTGTGAGGCCTCACCTCATCTGAAATATAATGTACAAGTCTCGGTCTCCCAGCACAAGAATAATGCAGAGCTGTTGGAGCGGATCCAGAGGGAGTGCCAAGATGATCAAAGGGCAGGAACACCTCTCCAATGGAGGCAGGCTGAGGGATTTGGGCTTGTTTACCTTAGAGAAGGCTCCATGGAGACATCACTGCAGCCTTCCAGAACTTGAACGGAGCTTACAAGCAGGAGGGGGACGACTTTTCACATGGTCTGATAGTGACAGAACAAGGGGGAATGGTGTTAAACTAAAAGAGGGGATATTTAGGTTAGACAGTAAGAAGAAATCCTTCACTCAGAGGGTGGAGGCCCTGGCACAGCTGCCCAGAGGAGCTGTGGTGGCTCCATCCCTGGAGGAGCTCAAGGCCAGGTTGGATGGGGCCCTGGGTAGCCTGAGCTGGTGGGAGGCAGCCCAGCCCATGGCAGGGGGTGGGGCTGAATTATCTTTAGGGTCCCTTCCAAGTCAAGCCATTCTATCTATGTGAAGATTTACACCTCTCAGATCTTGTTTTCCCTTCAATTTATATTACTTTATAAACCAAATTTCATTTCTGACACCATAAATGGCTCACTAGAAAGTCAAGGTCTTCTGGGCTGTGCAGCTGGGGGCGCTCATCTGAGGGAACGCAGTCACTGCTTCTACAAGAATCTGGCCGCCGAAGCAGTGTCTGTTCTCAGGACCTTCCAAGTCCTTCTTCCTCAGCATGTACCACAGTCGCAGCTCCATGTGCGGTGGCGGGTGGGAACAGGGCCCGAGGGAAGGGCATGCAGCTGTCAGGGGAGGGCAGCTGGGGGTGAGGGAAAGGGTCTGCACCAAAGGGCGGCGGGCATGGAACGGGATGCCCAGGGCTGTGGGCACGGCCCCGAGCTGCTCCCCCCCCCCGCCCCTCAACCCTCTACCGCCGGTTTATCGCTCTGGAGGCGACGACGCCCCTCCGCTGGACGACCAGCCCCCGAGCGGCACGATGCCGAACTGGCGCTGCCGGACTCCCCCTACCGGCCCCAACGGCCGCCGCGCTCCGGCCCCGCCCCGCCCCGCCAGGCCCGGTCCAATGGGAGCGCGCGGTGCCGGCCAATCCCCTGCGTCCCCCCGCCCCGCCGGGCGGATCGGGCCAATCCCATCTCGCGAGACGTCGCCGCGGGCCCGTGCACGACGAGCGGATCGCAGCCCTCCCTCACGGCTCCTCAGCGACCGCGCCGCCTTACGGCCGCGCCGTAAAGCGCGGCCGGCGCGACAGCGCGCGGCCTTCCGGTGGCGGGCAGCGGCGGGGCCGGGCCGGGCGCCGTGAGGCGGGCGGGGGCGGATGCCCGGGGGCGGGGGCAGCCCGGCTGAGGCGGGCGGCGAGGCGGGCGGCGCGGCGGGAGGCGGCGGCGGATCGGCGGGCGGCAGGATGAGCCTGTCGCCGAAGGAGCTGACGAGCCTGCTGGGCATCGTGTCGGAGGAGGCGGGCGGCAGCACTTTCGAGGGCCTCTCCAGCGCCTTCCACCACTACTTCGGCAAGGCCGAGCACTTCCGCCTGGGCTCCGTGCTCGTCTTGCTGCTGCAGCAGCCCGACCTGCTGCCCAGCCCGGCGCAGCGCCTCACCGCCCTCTACCTGCTGTGGGAGATGTACCGCACCGAGCCCCTCGCCGCCAACCCCTTCGCCGCCGTCTTCGCCCACCTGCTCAACCCCGCTCCCGAGCGAGGCGGCGACGAGGCGGAGCGCACCCCGCTCTCAGGTGCCGGGCAGCGGCGGTCGGGGGCGGGGCGGGGCGTTGCGGGCTGTGACGGCGTTGGCGCGGATTTCTCCCTTTGCGCCGCCGTTTGTCGTTGGCGTTACTTTTACCAAACGTTTTCTCTACGCTTGAGGACTCCGCCGGGTAGCGGTTTTCCTCAGGAATCAAGGCTTGCTTCTCCTTTCTCTCCCCGCAGGCTTCTTGCCGCCCATAACCCCGCCCGAAAAGTTCTTCCTCTCGCAGCTGATGCTGGCCCCCCCCAGAGAATTGTTCAAGAAGACCCCGCGCCAGATTGCAGCGATGGACGTTGGAAACATGGCCCAGTCGGTGGATATAAGCGGGCTTCAGCTGGCCTTGGCGGGTAAGGAGGAGCTTCGGCACCGTTGCGAACGGAAATGTTAATTGCCGTTTGACTTTGAGGCGCTCCTGTCTGTGCGTGTGGAAAAAGTTAGGCTAAGCTGTAGTGTCTTCAAACTTTAGAGAAACTAAAAGCGCAGTTGTGGCCTGGCTATTTTATCCTACTTACATACGCCACTGCCTTACGAATAAGACCGATTTGGAAGTACAGGAAGATTTTCACCTAAAGTTTGGTTTTTGTGTGCATCATTATCCCTTTTTCTCCTTTGCCATGGTTTTGGTATGAGAGAACATGAGGTAACTGCTGCGCAGCAGTACAGCAGCACCTGGCAAATAGGCTGTTCTAATTACATCTTCGGTTTTCTGTGGTCAGATTTTGCAGTGTTAGCTCACCGGTGGGAAGTGGTCTGCCTTTACTAGGCTATAAGGAAGAGGAACTCGGTGCTTATTCTTGGGCAGGAGGAGAGATATGATTGTTCTGATCATGTGGAGCAACAAGTTGCATCTGGAGCTAATCTGAAATGGAAAGTATTCATTGGAACAAGTTGCCAACTTGAGCAGTTTATTTAAAGAAAAAAAAAGTTTATTTCCTAGATACATAAAAATGGAACTACTTCAAAACTGAGCATCCCACTTCTGTGAACGTTGTGATTTTTCTCAGTGAGGTCAGGCATTACTCTTTCTGTCCTGCATAGTTTGGTGCTGTCATTTTTATGTAGCACTTGTCACTGACCTTTACGCTCTGCTATGCTGTCCCCTGTTCCCAGTGTCCTCAGCTGCTGTCTCCAGACATCAGAATCTTTGGGAATTGCAAATACAATACCCAAGTGTATCTACAAAGAGGGGAAACAAACTGTTTTGGTTCTTCTGTAAATCCTGTCTGTATTTTGGAGACTGCTTTCTCAGTCTTATAACTGTAGCTCCCTAGAATAAATACCTTCTATTAGCTTTCTTAAGAGTCAGCAGCTGTTGCATCTCTGTTAGTATTGTGATGCTTCTTGACTGTTTGTGTGCAACATTTCAGAAGGTCTGTCACTTTTTCAGAAGCTGGCAGTGTATGTCCCCTATGTATGGAGGATGAAGCCAAGGTATTCACAGTGTGTAAATACTTTGTATCATGGTGCTTAAGTAAGTGTTTGGGTGTTGTGTTTGCATTGTTTTCCCACTCATTTTACAACAGAACAGCTGTGGGCCTACTAAAATTGTGGGCTCTGTCATGAATTCAGAGCTTTTAGAGCAGGATGATGCTTTAGAATACACCTGTGGAACAGAGTACTTGGCTTCTGAACTTCAGTTCAGTTGGTGACACACTGGAACAGGTTGCCCAAGGAGGTTGTGGATGCCCCATCCCTGGAGGCATTCAAGGCCAGGCTGGATGTGGCTCTGGGCAGCCTGGTCTGGTGGCTGGCAACCCTGCACATAGCAGGGAGGTTGAAACTGGATGATCATTGTGGTCCTTTTCAACCCAGGCCATTCTGTGACTCTATGATTCACTGTGACAACTTTTCTTGTAGGCTTTTCTGTTGCAGTTATTGGAATAGAATGTCTTGGGAATCAATATTAAAACTTGCTTTGTTCTATTCTCTCTTCAGTCCACAGAATATTCATTCAGTCTTTGATCTATCCTTATAACTTGATGGTGTATTACTGTATCAAAAGTTGTCATCTTCTGCTTCCTGCAGGGACCTGAATTCTGGTGAAGTCCTCCCAAGTGTTTGTGTGCTAACTTCCATGTGATGTAAGGGTAATTGCCCTGTATTGGTATTTGGGCTTGTAATAAATACACTGTGGATCTTTCTGCTAAGAATCAAAGAAAGGTTCTTGTTATCTGTTAAAAGGCAAGGAGAGCCTGATAAACCACCATAAGTGATTGCATACAGAGGAGTTGTTTCCTTCAGTTTGAATGTATTCAAGTTGCTGTTTTCTCTTCTGAAATACAACTGTGTTCTAACTAACAACACTCATCTCTTCCTTCTGCTTATTCTGGGCTGCCCAGGGCGGTGATGGGGTCACATCCCTGGAGGTGTTGAGGAACATTTAGATGCTGTACTGAGGGACATGGTTTAGTGGGCAACAGTGGTGGTGGGTGAGCAGTTGGACTGGATGGTCTTGGATGTCTTTTCTGTTCTTGTGATTCTATGATTCTATTCCGATTTTTTTGAAGCAGTGAAAGTTAGGATGTCAACCCCAATGTATGTAAGTAAAGGGCTCATTTAGGCTTAAAACATCAGTGAACTGAAATACTGTATCTTAAACTTTTTGTTCTTCTAATTAAGCATCATTAGTCATTTGAGATAAGGGGATTTGAGAGGATACAAACCAATCAGTGACTTTATACCTATACTGATAGATGTAAGTTCTGGATTATGGATGACAGGAATGAAGGACTCCCTGTCGTCTCGTTTTCCTCTCAGAGAACTTCTTATGTTAACCCAGCTGATCCCTCCAGGAGCTAAATGATAGAACTCACTAGCCTGAATTTCCAACAGAAAGTGTACTTTGCTTAAAAGAGATAAGGACAGCGTACTGAAACTGAGGGCGCTACACTTAATCATCCAGATAAGAAGTGGTGTTGACTTCGTGTGGGACCAGCAAATTTGGACTTCAAATTACTTGAGACTTAATCTGCTACTTAATATCCCCTTTGGGAGGGGGAGGGAAGGAACATAAGGTGGCATTGTGTGGTGGGCTCTTGGCTTTCATGGATGGTGTTGGGTTTTTGTTGGACCGTTATCATTACAGAAAGTAAACGTATCTCTGCAGATTTCTCTCTCTGCTGCTCTGAGAAATGATTGCAAAACTAGATAGTTATGTGAACTCTTTCAGGACTATCATGTGAATGTACAACTTTGATGCAATCTGATATTAAAAGCAGTTACTATACTTTTTAAAGTCAAAACTGTCTGAGATTCATTTCTACTTCCTTATTCTTGCTGCATGCTGCTGGCCTTCTTCTGTCAGCTGGCATTCTGAATACTAGCAAATACAGTACTAAATTTCATGTTGTTATGTTTTGTTTTGTTTTTTTCAGCTAAAAAACTTTTGCCTAACTTCTAGCATTCTGGTCTCTTTCAATTTCATGCTTTAACATTCTGAACTGACCTTCTTGCAGAGCGTCAGTCTGAGTTGCCAACACAGAGCAAGGCCAGCTTCCCCAGCATCCTCAGCGATCCTGACCCAGATTCTTCCAACTCTGGTTTTGACAGCTCTGTTGCCTCCCAGATCACTGAAGCATTAGTGAGTGGACCAAAGCCTCCTATAGAAAGTATGTATGTTTTCAAAAACAATCTTTTTGTTTAACTCACGATGTGCCATGTTGTTATTCATCTCCAGATGAAGCGTAGTATGATTCAAAAATATTTTCAGGGTATGAAATGGGAATGAAGATGAATGAAGCAATGCAGAACTGTATTAAACTGTCTCCAGATCAGTCTCCATCGTGTTCATGTTTCCAGGCTTTTCAAAATCTGAAGTCTGTCTCAATCTGTTAGCTGTGTTACCTGATGCTCCTCAACTTGTAGCCCCTTGCACTAAGATCTACGCTGACTGTAACACTTCAAAGAATCAGGTAGTGTGGCAGGGAAAAAGACCATTCATCAGTGGCAGATGCAGTAACATAGTGATCCGATTCAAGAGGAAAAACATGCTGGCATAGCAGCATCACTAAAAATGAGGAATAAATACTTGTCTGGGAGGAAAATAAGACTGTAACACGCTTCCCAGTGTTGTTATAGCTTAAAAAATTGAG